ATTCTCCTTTCCACCACTTGAGGGCATAGATTCTTACTGCACAAACTTAATTTTTATCAAGAACAATTTGATGTTTTCTCCAGTTCTGCTTTGTAAAAAACTATATAAAGGCCTACACTGAGAATTTCTAAATTACCAAAAAAATCAGTGAACAGATGCAGTCTTTGAGAAATACTGTAGAATTGTAGTTTCAATTTTTTCCCAGGCCTGTTAGTGTTTTGTGAAAGCCTAAAACTAAGAATGTGATTACTGGTAAATCTTCCTAGATCCGAGCATCAAACACAGCATGTACATTTCCTGTAGTGACATTTATGATTCACTTAAGGCTGAAAGGTTGCCACCTGAGGCTAGGGCGGGCCTGACTAAGGGAACTACTTGGTTTGTGTGCCTCTGTCCAGCTCAGACAAGGAAAATAACTTTGTTATTGTATAATGTACTGCAACTGTATGATGAATTGCTATAATTGTTGCATAATATTGATAATTTGTTGTAATAATTTTCATCCCTCATGGCTCATAACTTGTACATGTATAAGTCTTAATTGGTGACATTTATATTGGTCACAATTTACATAAGAGGTAATAATCACCAGTTTTCAAGATGTGAAACTAGACTGTAAATGATCCACTCACACCTTCACTCTTTCAAATACATGTGGCTCTCTTCAAACACGAGACCTTTAGCTTAGTTTACATTCTATCTAAGAGGATGCCCGTAACTGGAGCTTATTAGCTGAAGTACTCAATCATTTTCACTAAAGTCAAGTAAGGACATGGATGTAAAGTGCCTTTCCCAAGGGCAGAACCCTTAGTTGTTAGTGCTTCTCCCCTGCCAAGGGCAGTACCCTTAGTTGTTAGTGGATCTCCCCTGCCAAGACTTGAGTGTCTCATATTGCCTTGTGTAAGAAGGAGTTTTTCAGTCTTTTTGTACGGACTGCTGGTACTGTAATTGCTGTTCCATTTCTTAAGGTCCTCCCAGTGGCCGTTGTCCTGGCCGGTGGAACCAGGTCATGGAGGGGGTGACCCTCGTCCAGCATGTAGTTGTTAGTGGATCTCCCCTGCCAAAGGCAGGACCCTTAGTTGTTAGCGGTTCTCCCCTTGTAAACTCTTTAGTTGTTAGTGGATCTCGCCTGCCAGAGCAGAACCCTTAGTTGTTAGTGGTTCTCCCCTTCCAAGACATGTCTGACTGTCTGTATCACATGCAAGTCAGAATGGGTCTATTCCTGGCTCTGTTGCTAGGCAACCAGGGGATCTCAGGGCAGGCCCTGACGTCTGTAGTCGGGTGAATAACCTCCAGTTTCTTACATCCAGACAACAACAAATTTATATATTCCTCTCAGACACAGTTACTTTAACTGGTCAGTGGCTTTCTGTTCAGTATGGCTCATAGTAGATGATGCTGTCTTGAACTTGTTTATTTTCTCTTTTACAGAATAAACACCTGTTATTCCTCTGTACCCACAGGTATTCATCTTCCTGGTTTGGGATCATGACTATATTTGTTTGGAGAAGAAGAAGAAACTGAGCAATCATTAACACCTGATATTAACACCTGTTATCCATACCACAGGTATGCGTCCTACCTGGTTTGGGAGGCAATTTGTGTAGTGGCTTTTGTTAAGCCTCAGCACCACAGTGCAAGCACATCTAACCCTCAGATGATGGGGAACAACAGACGATAAACCAGACAGTGAGTGAGCGTGTGGGTGGTCACTGGGGGCTCTTCTGTGGGTTTTTAGACCACATGGCTGGCGCTAAACCTAAACCATCATTAAAAAAACCATTAACACCTGTTATCTATACCCACAGGTATGCATCGTACCTTGTCTGGGAGGCGTGTGACGGGTTCAACGATCGGTCACTGGTCCCGCTGGGTCTGTACGGAACTCAGCTGGCACTCAACTGGGCGTGGACTCCCATCTTCTTTGGCTGGCACAAACTTGGGCTGGTGAGGGCTGTTTGTTTATTTTTTAGGCCACACCAGTTTACTTTGTAGGTTCTCGGATTCGCCTCTTAATTTTTTTTCTGATTTGCAAAAAAAAAGATTACCTATTTTGCTTCCAACATTTGAGGAGAGTCCTTTTCTTCCTAGTTCTTACAGTTGTTTCATATATCTATAAAGTGGTTTGATCAAAGCTTAATAAGTACTAAATGAATAACAAAGGAACCACAAACAAAGTAGTTAATTTGATAAACGAGGGCCAATTTAGCAACATAGCTTGTATCCACCCTTAAATTATCTAATTTTTTTCTAACAATAAACAGAAACACTTTTTCCATTCCTCCAGGCAACAATCGAGATCGGCGCCACTTGGCTTGCGATCGTGGGCTGCGTCGTGACCTTTCACCCTGTGAGCAAGACGGCGAGCTACCTGATGCTGCCGTACCTCGGCTGGGTCTCCTTCGCCTCCTGTCTCACCTTCTGGATCTGGCGCAACAACCCCAGCAAGAAGGTCGACTAGAGATGCTGCCTGGAACCGGCTGGAACCAGCTAGAACTGGCTGGAACCAGTTGGAACTGGCTGGAACTGGTTGGAACTGGCTGGGACAAGTTGGAACTGGCTGGAACCAGTTGGAACCGGCTGGGACCAGCTGAAACCAACTGGAACTGGCTGGAACCAGCTGGAAGTGCTTGGGACCGGCTGGAACCACCCAGAACTGGCTAGAATCAGCTAGAACTGCCTTGTACCAGCTGCACAAAAAAGGCTGACCTTCCTTGTTAGATCAGTAGTGCTTTTGGACCTTTCAACCCTAAATCATGTGTGATCTTCATTCTTATTTGGCAGGTTACATGGAATATCTGCTACTCAGAAAAACAGTGTGTTTGAAAAAACCATCATGTACAAATGTGTGGACCTGGGTTTGGGCTTGAAATCGCTCAAAATGAAGGAGAGCAATGGATCACCTACAGTAACCATGACCTAGGGTTGAAATGTCCAAAAAATGGAACTATTATTATTAACTGTACGATCCTCCAGTGGTTTGGTCTAATGCTGTGTCTTCTAGGGTAGGAAAAAGCCTGGTTTTAAACTAGTTACCATCAAAGCTGGTGGGAGGATTTCTTATCTTTGTGTCTTGCCAAATGAATATAACTCTTGCTATTTTAAATGTAGAGAGTAATTAAAGGGGCCAATTATCGTTAGAGGTAAAAACGAATCAAGGATTCAGCAGGAAGCATAGTAAGTTAACCCTCAGCCTGCTGATGTAGCCGTTTGGCACCACATTTGTATTGTTTACAGGTTAGGCAGCAGGGAGAAGGTTACTAACCACCATGTTTCAGCACTAGGGACAGGGCCATTAACCTTCAGCCTGCTAAAAAAAGGTAGCCATGTGGCAGCAGATTTGTAGTGTTTATGGGTAGGGCAGCAGGGAGAAGGTTAATCATAGCCACGTTTCAGCACTAGGGACAGGGCCATTAACCCTCAGCCTGCTAAGGTAGCCATTTGGCACCAGATTTGTATTGGTTATGGGGTGAGGCAGCAGGGAGAAAGTTAACTCTTTATTAAGTCCTAAAATTCCAGTTAAGTGTGTTTGAATTTGACCTAAGTATCTTGCATACTAGGTACGTGCCGACAGTTTAATTTTCGCAATGTTGTAGTTTTCAGCGATTTGCTGAATTGTTCAGTACCATGTTTGTGTCATAGTAATAAAGCATCATTGTCAAAATTTCAACATTTAATGCTTCTGGTGCTACCTGGTATTTGTAGAGATGGAACTCAATCCAGATTGTAAATTCAATTATGTATAATCAGAATGAATGGTCACTTGGTATTATGAGAGCCATTTACTAAGAATGCTCTGTGAGAACTGGCTATTCAGTTTGGTTACTTTTTGTGCATTGAGTTTGTGTGAAAGGTGATTTTGAGTCTGACTTTGATGATTCCCAATTTTTAGCATCCTTGTTAAGAGAACATGATAATTGTGGGAGCTACCATTCAGTATAATGTGTGAAAACACTTGTGTTGTTGCTACCAGACTATAAGTTTACCAAAAAATGTATCTTTGACAGTTTGCACCTCTAACTCATTATAAAATGTCCACGAAACAAAGTCCCTTCATTTTGGGTTAAAAGTGATTTTTGCCATGTTTATTCATAAGCCTCTACATATTACTTTGCAAATGTTTGTCATAATAAAGTCATTCTGATATTAAGAAATTCTGATATCTGAATTGAAAATAGCGCTAAATGCATTGATGATTATCAAGTAATTATGAAGTAATGCTGCTTGAACTTCCTATAGAAGCTGATTAACTAATGCTACACTGTATCACCTGTATAACCCACAGACTAACGTCTATGTTTGTATGGTGGCAATAATAAAGTATATGTTAGTAGAACGTTGCGAGTTCTCATTTTTATTTGCACAACTTAGTAGTAGTAGTAGTAATATAGTAGATTAGTAGCAGACATAGTAGTCAGTACAAGTAGTAGTAAGTAGTGTAGTTATCAGATGGAAAGAAGTAGATTCTGAAGTATAAAAATGTAGTGATTTAGTAGTACATGTAGTGGTAGTAGTAGTAGTAGTATAGTACATAGTACTGTAGTTGTACAAGTACTACTGTTAGTTCTCAGATTAAAAGTAGAAGTATAGTTTGAAGTAGTAGTAGTAGTACAAGTAGTAGTAGTACATGGTTATATGGATGACATCCTCTGGGAACCCCAAAAGCGATCGAATAAACAAAAAAGTTCAGTAAAAATTAAAAAGTTGCTTTCATCATGGTCATGAAGGTTCAACAAATGACACAATATGGTATGGCGAATAATCTACTCCTCAAATTCATTTCTTTAGATTTTCGTCTATATACCTACCAAAATTTAGTCAGTTAACGTTATTTGTTTTTCCTGCACTAAACTAACGTTATATATCGTATATAAATAACATAACTTGTGTATTGCGTTCAAAAGAGACACCCTACGGCTGGATGAAGTACTGCAGACACAGACACTGACAAATTCGCCTATCTACACAACCACACAGTAATACAGTGTGCCAACGAGACGCTTTCAATCATACAAACAAGGCCTTTCTACGGGAATACGGATGGTAGAATTCGGCAAAAAAGAGAGTAAAATTGGCCAAGGGAGTCCGGCCGCGGGGAGGTAGTTTCTTTCCCTACGCGGCGCGCGGCCAGTCTAACCTATAACTACAAGGCGACCAAACTCCCCTGGCAAATATTCTCCTATATATAGCCAGTGTAGTTAGTCTGGTAAAGACTAAAAGCCCTTTTTAGTTGTTAAGAAGAAGGGAGGCATCGATGAAAAGAAAAGTACATGTATACTACTTTTAGGTCGACAGTCGGTCATACAGTGCTGGGTATCATTCATCTGGGTAACCAGGACACCCTGGGCGGCGGTAGGGAAGGTCATAGGTCAAAGTTTACACTGCCCTGATTACACAGATAGAGATCGTACTGTAACGCCTGTCGATCTAAACGCAATGGATTTTCTTACAACTGATAACTCCTTGTTTGCAGCCAAAAGGGGGTTTGATGTAGCAAAAAAAGTTATAAACTAAATGAATATAAAAAATACTGTAAAAATCTAACATATTTGTGAACCAAATGTGACCCCGTTGACCCCTTGTGACGTCACATTTTTAGGTGACCTAATTCAGGGTCATTTCAACTTGAGAGAGACCAAGGAGAGACATGACAACATTGTTGCTTGCTGGAAGCAGAGTCTTTTTTCACAGGACTTTCGTACAACAACACAGTAAAGAAAGACAGAGACACGGACATCGTCACCCTAGCCGGAATGAGAGAGGGCCTTCCTGAAGCAGCAAACAACCAGATGTACCTGGCCCTCTCCCGGTACATTGAGAGTACGCACCGTTTTGACGTGCTCTCCTAGAAACAATCCCAGCTTCACACAAGCACAAGGCACCAAGAGTTAATACCTACAGAGACAAGTTGACTCTGAACTCAGGACCAAGCGCAAACCAGCACCTAGCGATATATTAGACGCCAAACAAGGACAACAACAAAAGACAACTTGGAAGCTTGGTGAGTATATAAAATTTCTTGTGTGTTCGGTTACAATTAATGATAGAATTTATAGTGTTCATTACAGTTTATTGTTGCTTTGAATTTCAATTTTTTGTATTATCGTGTCATCATGATCATATCACTATGATCGGAAAACGGTAACCGGTATCAACTGAGGTAAACCAAACCAGTAAGTTGCCTATGAGATACTAAGTGTGATTGTTATTCTGAGGCAACTTGGGTAGAATCAGATATGCGATATTTAAATGAGTTTATCTTCTGATCATAATGATTATTCCTGGTGGGGTTATGCCGAAGGGCGGTTATACCGGCTATACCGATACAGATACCGGCTATACTGATACAGATACCGGCTATACCGATACAGATACTGGCTATACCGATACAGATACCGGCTATACCGATACAGATACCAGCTATACCGATACAGATACTGGCTATATACCGATACAGATACCGGCTATACTGATACAGATACTGGCTATACCGATACAAATACCAGCTATACAGATACAGATACTGGCTATACCGGTAAAGATACCGGCTATACAGATACAGAAGCTGGTGTGTTACGCCGAAGGGCGGTTATACCGGCTATACAGATACAGAAGCTGGTGTGTTACGCCGAAGGGCGGTTATACCGGCTATACAGATACAGAAGCTGGTGTGTTACGCCGAAGGGCGGTTATACCGGCTATACAGATACAGAAGCTGGTGTGTTATGCCGAAGGGCGGTTATATCGGCTATACAGATACAGACACAGAAGCTGGTGTGTTATGCCGAAGGGCGGTTATATCGGCTATACAGATACAGACACAGAAGCTGGTGTCAGTTAGGCTAAGCTGATACAGATACAGATTATGATCAGCTTTTGCTTGATGTGGTGAATTTGTTTTGTATATACATATATATTCATATATGAATGTTAGCGTCACTTTGACACACTGCAACTGTGTAGATAGACGAGTTTGCTAAGGTCTCTGGGTGCAGCACACACTGACGCTCTAACCGTCCGGCTAAAAGTTCTAGACCCATCGGCCTGATCAGTTGGTTAATGCCTATGTTACCCCCAATGTTACACGGTTAATATGGTCTGATCTTCATCGACACAGACTTCAGGGACTCCCGGGAGCCTGTAAAGCTGTGCCAGATCACACCTTGCCAGACCTCACAGGACCTCCCACAGCTGACCAGGTAGCGGCCGTTGAGGAAGGAGTTGCCGCAGTTTCCGAACCACCAACCACCCTGCCCGCGGCGCTGGCAACAGTGGCCGCTGTTCAGATCGTTGTCCCTGTCCACCGTGGAGAACCTCATCCCGTCGTTGGAAAAGTAGCGAGTCATGCAGTCTCCCGCGGTGCCGTTGTAACCGGAGACGTGCAGCCGGTACTGGTCCCCGTACTCACCCAACACCCTGGATGGGAACAAACACGTCCAGTCACTCCGTTCACATTGTATCCACATCTGGGATCAAATCGCGATTGAATCAATATCGTGATTGGATCCCGATGCATTCACAATCGCGATTTCGTTCCTTGAGCACGGGAATTGCCATCAATTACGACTGATCGATTAACTGATCAATGAATCGATTAATCGCGATTCAATCGCGATTGGAGCATTCAGATTCAGAAAAATTAATCAATCGCGATTCAATCAAGATTGGACCTCAATCGTGATTAAATGGAGATTCGATAGCACTGGTCTGCAACCCGTATCCTCACACAGTTGATAAACACATGATAAGATTAGAAACTCCGGTATATCTGATATACCGGAGTTTCTAATCTTATCCTGTGTACATGTAGGTAAGGCTATGGCTTACACATTGACATTGTATGAAACGAACTGAAAAACCTCACTCATTAGAATATATTCAGTTGACAATACTTTTTACCTGCAGGAGTTTTACTCACCTGAAGGTGGAATACTCCGCGTACCGCGTTTGGTTATCCCAATCCTGCATGTCGATTCTGAGGCGATAGTTCTTCTGATTGGTCAGGAGGTGGATGTTCTCGTTCCCAAGCCAGTATTCCCCGCTCTTGTTCCCAAACCCGCGCTTGTACTCCTCCCAGGTCCGGTTGAAGGGAACCGACCCGTCCACTCGTCGCTGGATCACAGTCCAGCCGCCTTCTGTGTGGAGAATAAAGACACGTGAACAAAATAGTAATGCTCAGATTATAGGAAACTAGGGTTCCTACCTCATACTTCCCCTGATAAAGTTAACATTAGGAAGTTTGCAACAGACATACTGGTAGTTTAAAGCGCACGCCGGGGGTAGATTTATGCAGAAGGTTTTAGGTTTCTTCGCTCACATGGTTGTCACGCAATAGAAGACAAAGCGCAATACAGGAAGTCAGCAGATGAAGAGAAACCAGCTGGAGATAGGTCCGTGGGTATAGCTCGCCTGTGCTTGGTAAAGGCCAGACAGAAAAATCACCCACAAGCCGACCAAAGTTTTCGTACCCGGGCTACGAATCTGTTCATGTCACATGATCGGGCAGGAGGCCGAGTCTGTACATGGTACTGCAGTGCCACCTAGCTGTAGAAACATGGTACTGCAGTGTACTATGTTAAGCAACTTTGTAAGCCCAAACCTGCGGTGTCCATGTCACAGTACGCCTCCACATGACCGGGCAGGAGACCGAGTCTGTACATGGTACTGCAGTGCCACCTAGCTGTAGAAACGTGGTACTGCAGTGCCACCTAGCTGTAGAAACGCGGTACTGCAGTGTACTGTGTTAAACAGAATTAACAACAACTTTGTAAGCCCAAACCTGCGGTGTCCATGTCACAGTAGGCCTCCACATGACCGGGCAGGAGGCTGATTCTGTAGACTCCACTTGTTGTCCGTCCTGAGGAGTAATACTCCGCACAGTCTCCCTCTGTGGAACAACAGGAAGTAAAGAGAATCTTTTATTCTAATTTTAAGTCTTCATTTTACCCCAAAACTGGGGGTTAGACGTGCTTGCATGAATTCTTTTTTGTAGCAAGATTTTTACGGCTGGATCCTAATGCCATTTAGCCAAATCCTAATAGTGCCTAGGATCCTAGGACATGCTGTCACCATATTATAATCTATAGCGTAAACTTCAAAAGATTTCTCAATTGTTTTGGTATTTGAGTCACCATAATCTATAGCAAAATGTTTAGATTTCTCACCGATTGTTGGATCGTCGGTCTCTGTGTCAGCAGGGGGAACACTGGGTCGAGGTTTCGTTGTTGAGACCTCCTCAGTTGGCCTGATCTTCATAGATCCAGACTTCAGGGAGTAGAAGTAGCCCTTCCAGCTTCCCCAAATTATACCTTAAGTGAAAAATGTTTGTACGACGTAAGATTGTCATAGTTTGTACGATTGTAAGACTGTAAATACCTAAATTTCTTGAACCAAAGTGATATCATATTAATCTGTGGATACGTAATTGTAATTTGTATTTCCCTACTATTATCAATGATTATTTGAAACAAACATCAGAATTCAGCCCTGTATGTCAAGGAAGCGAGATATGTTGTTCACACATTTCCAACATGTAATCACAAGACGTGGTGACGGCACACTCAAGTTTTTCAAACTTATATTAATGCCGCCACCAACACAGGGGACAATACAATACTCATTTACACATGAGCGAAGTGAGGAAAGTCGTGTAAAGTTTGTTTTTAAAGTTTGTTTGTGTAAAGTTCCTTTCCCAAGGGCACAAGATCAGTGGCATGTCAGGATTCGAACCCGGGACCTCTAGGTTCCGAGTCGAGCACTCTGCCGCAACGCTACACGACCCCACATACGTTGATATGAATAAACCAATAAATCATACCTTGCAGCCACGGACAGGAGTCCCCACAGTTGCCCAGGTAGCGGCCGTTGAGGTAGGTGTAGCCGCAGCTCGCAAACCACCAGCCGCCCTGTCCGCGCTCCTGAGAACAGTCGTATTCTCTGTCTTCATCGTTGTCCCTGTCCACAGTGGAGAACATCTGCTCATTGTTTAGTTTCATGGCATTCCTGTCTGTGCCCCAATACCCGGACATGTGAATCCGGTACTGGTCCGACTCTCCGGACAACCTGGATGGGAACATTATTGAAAGTTATCATGAAAGTTCATCTGTGTTGGTAGTAATCATAGTAAAACATTGAACTTTATTCCAACACAAGGGTTACAGAGTGATCAAATTTTCGACGACTTCTGTCGCCTTCATCAGGATAACTAATGACCAATCACTTCAAAACGTGATCTCGCGAGAATTACGGTTTACAAACACGTGACGTTATTATTGCTGCGGGAACATGGTACTGCAGCGCCACCTAGCAGCGGGAACATGGTACTGCAGCGCCACCTAGCTGCGGGAACATGGTACTGCAGCGCCACCTAGCAGCGGGAACATGGTACTGCAGCGCCACCTAGCAGCGGGAACATGGTACTGCAGTGCCACCTAGCAGCGGGAACATGGTACCGGAGCGCCACCTAGCTGTGGGAACATGGTACTGCGGCGCCACCTAGCAGCGGGAACATGGTACTGCAGCGCCACCTAGCAGCGGGAACATGGTACTGCAGTGCCACCTAGCAGCGAGAACATGGTACTGCAGTGCCACCTAGCAGCGGGAACATGGTACTGCAGTGCCACCTAGCTACAGGAACATGGTACTGCAGCGCCACCTAGCAGCGGGAACATGGTACTGCAGCGCCACCTAGCAGCGGGAACATGGTACTGCAGCGCCACCTAGCAGCGGAAACATGGTACTACAGCGCCACCTAGCAGCGGGAACATGGTACTGCAGCGCCACCAGGTTTTACTCACCAGAAGCTGGTGTATTCAGCGTACAATATCCACCCGTCCCAGTCCTCGAGTTCTACCCTAAGGGTATAGTTCCTCTGATTGGTCAGGAGGTGGATGTTCTCGTTCCCAAGCCAGTATTCCCCGCTCTTGTTCCCAAACCCGTGCTTGTACTCTTCCCAGGTCCGGTTGAAGGGAACCGACCCGTCCTGCCGTCGCTGGATCAAGGTCCAACTTCCCCCTGTGAGGAGAATAAAGACATTTGATCAAGATTTTTTTTTAAACAGCTTTATTCAGTATTCAGGAAATCATACAAACAAATCATATACAGTGTACATAATAAACAGAAATAAAGTAAGGGAAGATATAATAACATCGGGTAATCATTCATAACAAAAAAAGAGATGTGTGTATATATATATAAGAAATCATATAACTTTGTCATCTAAACAAATTACTGGGTAGCATGATGGACATTTGATCAAGATAGTGACGCCTAGATTATAGGAAACTAGAAATCCTACCTAATAGTTCCCCCGATGAAGTTAATCTTACAACAGACATACCGGTATTTTCAAGATTTATCATTGATTCAAGTATCTTAGAAGTGTGTATTCCAATTCTGATACGTGATGGGGAGGGAGAGGGGGTTAGAAGCTTGGTCACATTTGGGACCGCTTTCCTTCCGGTGCAGTGCCACCTAGCTGTGGGAACATGGTACTGCAGCGCCACCTAGCAGCAGGAACATGGTACTGGAGCGCCACCTAGCTGTGGGAACATGGTACTGCAGCGCCACCTAGCAGCAGGAACATGGTACTGCAGCGAAACCTAGCTGTGCGAACATGGTACTGCAGCGCCACCTAGCTGTGGGAACATGGTACTGCAGCGCCACCTAGCTGTGGGAACACTGTACTGCAGTGTACTGTGTTAAACAGAATTAACAACAACTTTGTAAGGCCAAACCTGCGGTGTCGATGTCACAGTAGGCCTCCACATGATCGGGCAGGAGGCCGAGTCTGTACATGGTACTGCAGCGCCACCTAGCTGTGGGAACACTGTACTGCAGTGTACTGTGTTAAACAGAATTAACAACAACTTTGTAAGCCCAAACCTGCGGTGTCCATGTCACAGTAGGCATCCACATGACCGGGCAGGAGACCGATTCTGTAGACTCCACTTGTTGTCCGTCCTGAGGAGTAATACTCCGCACAGTCTCCCTCTGTGGAACGACAGGAAATTGTCAGTACTAGTACCGTTTTGGACGTCTAACAACCTTCATTATTCTCTCACCTACAGCTTTCGACCAGTCACTCTGGTCTTCCTCAATAGACTGACCCAGTGAAGCCTAGGCCTGTCACATGGCTTCTTTGAAGTGTGACGTCAACACTGGGTCAAAGGTATCTGGTAGACTATGTCGGCCCCCGTCGCGGTTCAATTAAGGGTGATGGGCCCTGATGAACTTTCATGATGACCTTCATTATTCTACTTTATCTATTGTAGCTCGCCTGTGCTTAGGGTAGGAAAATCAGTAAGTAAAGACAATGTTGTTTTGAATTTCGATAGAAAATCTAAAAAAGTTGTGGTCATCGAAGACAGAACACTATTTGGACATCAAATAACCTTCAACCTTGCTTTTTTTTTCATTTTTTTTACTTTGTTTCCTTTATCCAGGGGAGCTTGCTCAGTAATTATACACTGCTTTGCAGTGGGGTCCTCGACAATGCACAGCCCACTGCCCTTTTTCTGGTAATCGAGGTACGTAATCTATACTCAAAAGTGTAGATTTCTCACCGATAACGGGACCTGTAGACTCTGTGGGAGACGTCTCCTCAGTTACCGGTATCAGCTTCTCACACGCACACTGGAAGGTGGTAAAGTAGGAAACATGGAGGTTTTCAAAAGTATGAAAAACTGACTCTTTTAGAAGTACCACGTTCTCACAAGTCACTGGAAAGTAGGAGTCATTTAGAAGTACCAGGTTCTCACAAGCACACTGGAAGGTAGGAAACACGGTTTTTTTTTAAGCAGAGAACTAAATGTACACCAGCCTTTACAATACATACATCAACTAACGTAAATATATATAGCTGGCCTCTTTACACTGTCCATTGGCTTCTGAGAAACTCGTAATTTGTCTCTGCCTCACAAATAGGTTACTACACGTTACTAATAGGTTAATATGTAGCTTTTGCTCACTTGACACCTTTCTGGGCATAGTTGGGAAAAGTGAATTAAAAACATCCGTTGTAAGAATCATACTTGTTGCTGTTTGTAGGAAATATTTCGAGAGAGTATAGTGAAAATCATTGTAAATTAATGGTGGAAATATGCAGGTAAATACAGCATAAAAAATTATTAAATCATTCTGGAGTAGCTCATGCATATGTCTATACCGAAGCTGTGTATAAAAGACACGTGTCCATATGACACTTGTACAAATGTACACCTTCACCGAATTTAGGTCATTTGGCCTTCATAATTACCAGAGCAAAAGAGCACAAAATATGCAATAGAGTTATCAGCCTGATTACAATACATTAGCTACTAGTTAAATCAGCCGTAGCTGACCCCTTGGTACTTATCGCCGTTCCCTGGCTTCTGAGAAACTGATAATTTGTCTCCTGAACTGGTTCACTGACTCCCAGTATCTTGGCTGAGCTTGTTGGTAGTACTCTCCAAGCAGAGGTTGTGGGCGAATGATCGTTAGCTTTTTATTATATATGGCCGTTTTTTTGTGGCTGGCGACCTTCTCTGGCTAATGGATACTGCCTGGCCAATTTGATACTGCCCGTTTTTGCCACCGAAAGGGATCTGCTTGGAGATTATGTTGATAGTCGATTCGGGCCGAGGGATTTCAGGCGGAACAAGAGGGTTATGAATAATTCTGTTTCTGACCCCGGATGAACTTTTATGATAGTTAACTCGTGTGTTTAAACTGTTGGCTCAGCTTTCCAAAAGCTTTCGAGCTTCACAAATAACGTCTGAACATGAGTCAAACTAACTTGCCTGACAACAGCACCGTGCATTAAACCGGTGGTTCGTAATAAATGACAGATGGACACCGGCAGGGAACAAGAGAACGACTACTACTAGTATTTGTTCGGAAGACATTTGACAATTTATGTACCCTCTTCCAGGCTCCCCCGGGTTGCTGCATGAATAGTAGAAATTGGCCTAACAGAATACCAGAGGAATAAACAGTAGCAGCAATGCTGTAGCCATTGTAGTAGCCTGGTATCCAGTCTTATACGTGATTGGGGGTGTTGGAGTGTTCAGGCAGGCTGTGCCTTCGGGGGCTCTAATAGCTTCCCCCGCCCAGTGCAACAGGCCGTCCCGGTAGGAGTGTTACGCTAATAAGAGACAGTATAGGTATCAAATATGCTTGGGGATTTGGTTTCCCCCAACACGATGTTCGTGGAGGGCTAATCCATCTCTCGTGAAATACACACCGGGAAACCTGTGTGAGGCGGGCGGGCTCAGAGCTCTTTCGGCCCCGACCACGAATCAGACTGGATACCAGGCTACCATTGTAGGGTCATCGACCCTTGTACGAACGAACAAATACCCAGATGTGCAAGGCTGACCTAGTTTGGGGTGAAAAGCCGATGAACTCTTCACGTTGACAACTTGCCAAAATGTCACTCCTATCAGACAGACAGCGCTACTTGATCTTGTGGTTAGAAAGACTCTTGAGGACATTGTTTTTTATTTCTCCGGGTGCGGCGTCGGGCGTCGAAGCATTTGGACGCTCCGACGAACACCAGGTGCGACTCCGACGAGCTTTTTGTCACCGTGACATTGTCCCAACTTCGTGTTGGCCTTAGAGCAGTGGCCTCACAATTTAAAGAGTGACTACGTTTACCAAACTGGATAATATCGTAAGACTATTGTATAGGCGAAAGCTTGATACTAATAGAGAAATATATGTTGCTGTAATGTTCACTGTCTTGTCAGCAAGGTAGCCCTTTGTAATAGCTACTGGCTAGTTAGGCTGCCCTGGCTGTGATCGAGGGTTGAACAAATTATGAACAGTCAAGCCAATGTATAAAGAAAGAAAAAAAGGAAAGGTATGAATATGAGTAAAGTTACGAGTTTCTGACACTTACCTGCAGACGTTGTTTGATGACCGTGTCATGCTCGTACAAGGTAGACGTCATGCTGTCCAACTTGTGGAGTGCTTGGGTCAAGTTTAGGGCCAGTTCCCTGTTCTTGTCCCTCTCCTCCGACAGTTGGGCAGAAAGACTGTCCACCCGGGCCGTGAGATCGGACTGTTGACTCAGTAAGGTTTCCACCAGAGACGACAGACGATCCACTTTAGTTTTCAAGCGGCCGGTCGCCGTACGGGCCCCGGGCGGGCTGTACCCGGCCTGGGCGCGGGCAGAGAAGCTCCCGAACAGAAGGAAGACGACGAGCAGTAAGAAACTCGCCATCTTGGCCGTGACTTGAAACAGCTGTGGATATCAGCCGCACAACAACAAGGTGTGGGGCACAATTCTGGAGTCGTGAAAAACCAGGGGAGAACCGTTGTGGCTATCGAACGGGACCTGGGGGTAAGACGATGAAATGGAGACTAGGGAAAGGGACTAACCATTGTGCCTCTCAAATAGGGGCTAGTGCAGGGGGTTGACCATTGTGGCTATCGAACGGGAGGGTGGGGTAAGGAAGGAGGTGAACCATTGTGGCTTTCAAACGGAGGTATAAGGCAAGGGGGTTAACCGTTATGGCTATCAAACGGGTGGGGGGATACGGCATTGGGGTTAACTATTGTGGCTTTCAAACGGACTATAAGGCAAGGGGGTTAACCGTTATGGCTATCAAAAGGGGGGAAACGGCAAAGGCATAACCATTGTGGCTATCAAATAAGGGGCTAAGGCAGGGGGTAACCATTGTAGCTATCGAATGAAGGGCTGAGGCAGGGGGTTAACCATTGTCGCTATGAAATGGAGTGCTTAGACATTCAGTCTTTCTTACCATCATGTTAGATTTCACGAAGATCCACCAATAAGCATATGGAAGAAAAAACTGTAAAGTATCACGTTTTATTTCCTTTAATTAAAAACAGCTTGTTACAATACACTGCAAAAAAGACATTACATGAACTGGCATTAATATAATAAGTTGCCATTTAACTATTGAACACAGCTTAGTTAGTTGCTTTGAGGAATGCACCGGATTTTCTTAACTCTTCAAAAAGATACATTAAAGCTTCTTTTTTACCCCAATATGTATAGTAACATTATGCATCGCCTTCCAGCATATATTCTTATGATTAATTTATTTCATTTTTTTTGGATTTGAAGTCCTTGAAACCTTGAGATTTGTATTTTATCTTAGATTCTGATCTACTTATACTTTTAGTATTACGTCAGCCATCACCCATTTTAATAGTCTGCCTTTGCTGACCCAAGTATTGACATGTATAATTGCCAAAACGTACAGATACAATTCAATAGAAAGCGTTGTCATCAGATTAGTGAAAACAAGTATGTTTTAGGCATTTTTAAGCAACTACTTAAAGGTTAAAACAAAATAGAATAGAAATTACCAGTAAAATCTTACAAACGCTTGTTAAGTGCAGGTATGATAGCTTGACCAGATGATGATGATGATAGCTTGAATGATTGTATGGTCGACTGTTACATCGTGCGCGCTTAAGAAACACATGGTTGGGTTTTATTTGTGAACCAGGTGTGATTGTCATTCTGAGCAAAATCAGATATAATCAGATTCATTCCATTTTATAAATTACAATTTATTTAGAAATGGTAACAGATATCGCATGGGTAATGCAGATAATATGTTGTTTATGGCCCGACCACGTATTATGCAACTTGGGTATAATTAAACATTCAATGTTAAAAAATCTTAGTGATTTGGAAATTCAACACATATCACACCGGTAGTGGCATATCGTACTCGTGTCGCTTATGGTTTGATCTTCATAGACACAGACTTCAGGGAGTAACGCAGGTCTATCCAAGTGTTCCACAGCACACCTTGCCAGAGTGGACAGGAGCTCTTACAGTTGCGCAGGTAGCGGCCGTTGAGGTTGGACCAGCTGCAGATCCCAAACCACCAGCCGGCCTGTCCTAACGCCTGAGAGCAGTGGAGGCTGCTGTGGACATCGTTGTCCCTGTCCACAGTGGAGAACCTCTGCCCGTTAAGGGTATGGCCGCCCGCCATGGAGTCTCCCGCGTCGCCTGAATACCCGGAAATGTGCAGCCGGTACTGGTCCGACTCACCGGACACCCTGGATGGAAATATTATATAATGACGCTCACATACTTTGTAGCACGCACATCGATAAGTAGGCACACATTAACGAATTAATTGCGCTTACACATACAAATACACCCTCTCATACATGTAATATATATACGCAAACACACACATACACACATATACACAGTCACACGTACTGAATTCAATTTATTTGGATACCCTTTAGTCAATGACTAATCTTCCAGGGTTCAAAACATATAAACATACGAACATACTGACAGCAAAAATAAAAGAGAATGAACATACATAATCATGATAGTTAAACAAAACGATCATAACTTACCTGAATATATACAAATTATCTCATGTACAACTGGCGGATGGCCTTTTTGAATTGATGTGGACTGGTCAGTGTTTTGTTACTGGGTGGCAGGGTGTCCCATAGATTAATGGCGCGGTAGAGAAATGTTCACTTTTTGCTGTTTGTTTGTACTGATTGACATCGTCTATGCTGCAATAGAAAGTTCCCTCGGATAAAAGCACTCTGACTGGAAATATCTTAATGTGTATTCAGTTGACATTACTCAACCTGTGGGTGTTTTACTCACCTGAAGCTGGAGTACGTTGCGTACCGGGTCTCTTCTTCCCAATCCTCGAGATCCACCCTGAGGGTGTAGTTCTTCTGACTTGTCAGGAGGTGGATGTTCTCGTTCCCAAGCCAGTATTCCCCGTTCTTGTTCCCAAACCCGTGTTTGTACTCCTCCCAGGTCCGGTTGAAGGGAACCGACCCGTCCTGCCGCCGTTGGATCACGGTCCAACCACCCCCTGTGTGGAAGACAACACAAGGTATAATACTATTACTTCAATCACACACAGTACCTTGACAATAAACCCGACACCAACTTCTGAAAACCCAATTAACAAAAACTTACCAACGTTTATAGTTTTATCAATCAACCTTTCCTGAAGTAAAAGAAAGGAATTAAACGTTCGAACTAAGCAATCTGTTAGTTTATATATATATATATATATATATACTGACAGATTGCTTAGTTCGATGTCTCCCCATTCAGTACCTGCGGTATCCATGTCACAGTAGGTCTCCACGTTAGAGGAACCGAGTCTGATGTTGTAGACTCCGCTTGTAGTCTGTCCTGCCGCGTAGAGATCTGCACAGTCTGACGCTGGATGGGATAAGGAATAAGATAAAGGCACAGTTTGGTTAATGATAGGGAGGCACAGAATTATTTATCATTGGTACAGGCAATAAATTCAGATTCAGAGAGTCATCATTTGGGGCCCTATTTCAAGTCAGGTGAAACTCGGTTTACCCTATAGAGACAACAAAGTGCCGGGTTCTTACCTTGTACAGCTCCCGGGGTAGTGGCCACCTCTGGGGAGGGAGTCGGCCTCTCAATGCAACACTGTTGTACCAGGCAGAAACGTTCATTCAATGTATCTCGAATACATTTATGAATTGTGTAACCGCAGTGGTTTCAAAAGTTGTTTATTAAAGTTGACAATTATATATCCAATGTTGAGACTGCTATGTGACCCCAACAGCCTTGAAGAAGCTAGTTTATAAAAGTCTTGTGGCATAAAGTCAAAATCAGAGCAGAACATGATACGAGCAATACATGTAAAAACTGAATAAGATAGAGCATAACTAAATTTCAGTTTAGCCATATGCGAAATGACATGTTCGACACTAACTAAAATGGCTGACTTATATTTGCGATCAGGAACAACTTATTTCACCCAATCACTCTCCCAGTACAAACATGGGCTCTTGAAACATTACACCCTGCAATCGTGAAACATTAAAGTATACCTCCTGGTGCATTGTACTAAGCATTTGTTAGTTTGCTAATGTTGCACGTTTACCTGTCCAGGGGGTCCGGGTGGACCGGCAGGACCCTGCAGACCGTCTCTTCCATCCCTCCCGGGGGCTCCGGACGGACATCCGAGACCTGCTGGTTTGAGAAACATTCATCCATTTATTATTCAACGCATACACACGCATACACACACACAAACACACACACACACACACACACACACACACACACACACACACACACACACACACACACACACACACAAACACAAACACAAACACACACACACACACACACACACACATACACACACAAACACACAGAAAGGAGCCGGCACGCAAACTTTTACCTCCGAATTTGCCATGGAAGAGAACAGTGTTGGCCATCGCCTCCCTCTTGGATCTGTGGTGCACCTCCGCACTTTTCCAAAAGGTGGCGCTGTCATCACGTCGCCAGTCTTCAGTTGAGCTAGCTGGGCCCTCGGGGGAGAGTTGTTCACTGGTCTGTTAACAAGGCCGCAATTATCTTTCCATTACAGTGAACAGCTACAGCCACACGATTTGGTATAGACTACACTGTCTCTAATTCAGAACACAACAAACCTGCTTATTGCAATTTTGAACTTTACATACTTGCGTGAATAGTACTCATAAACTGAAGCATGACCTTGGATATTTGTTGACGTTTTCATCTCCTGACACAAAGCTATATAACATGAAAATATGGGAATGTTGCTACATCTGGTTACGATAGGAAACGTTACAAAGGGTCCCAGGCTCTAGTCTCGGTTCTCAGGCTCTAGTCTCAGATACCGGTTAAGCACTAGTCTCTGCGTTTGTTTCCTGTGCTTCACCTAGGCTAACGATCGCTGAATGTGGATGTGCTGGATTTTGGTTTTAGAACCTCTGGATAAATTAGTTTTCGTCCTCTACAGAGCCTGGTACTGAGGCTATACGCTGACGTCACGCCCCTCCCTCTAAATGTCAGACGACAAATATGGCGTTTCCTCATACGTCATGAGGAAATGGAGATTTCAAAAATGATACCATGTCGCAAACGTTGTGTTCACTGCGTACCTATATAAACACACACTCAATACCTAAAGTAACCTTGTTTCAGTACCCACACGTTTAGGTTAGGTAACTGTGAGTATAGAGACGACAAAGTGATCGCAGCGACCTAAACTTTCTCTGAATAAAGCAGTCTTCCCTACCTTAGCTCCCAGCTCATGTTTCCATTGCATCAGGTCCTGAAGCTGGCTGCGCTGTAGCACCAGCTGGTCATGGTCTCTTCCTTGGTGATCTTGTAAGGCTTCTTGTTGGGCCCGTAGGAACGTAAGTTCCCGCACCATGAACAGTAGGGTGACGACGCTCACCACAGCCGCGAGTCCTGACAGCGCCATGAAGATTCCTAAGGTTCGCTGGTTTCCATGACGACCTACAGAACCTTCCGGAGCTGCCTCGCCGTTTGGGAACAGCTTCTTGGACGACATCTTCGAGAAACCTCGCGGGAAATTCTTGAGAAATGTCCGACAAGACCTCGTCAGGCAAAACCCAAGCCTCACCTGGATGCCGTGTGTGCCCACAGGTGAGGTGACGACGTGGTCGGTCCGGTTTACCTGCATCACCTGAGGCCGAACTTCACTGAAGCGAATGATTTGTTCATGTAAACAGAACCATGAGACAAGGATGTGCGTTTTGCCTATATAGACATCAGACTTAATCATAAACTCGTAGTGATTACTACACAAACCAGGCACAGTTGAAGTAAGGGCGTTCTAAATAACATTTAAATGTTGTTTTAAGAAACTTTAGCTTTTTGCAAGAAATTTTCAACGTCTTAACAGCCTTGCTGGTTACTTTGATACGGAATAAAGTGCACGTGGAATGCAGTAGCACATCTTATGTCCTTATTTACTTACTCTCCAAGCAGAGGTTTGGGTTATTTTGATGTGTTTTCACAACCCAAACCTCTACAATACGATCGAGCAGATGCCGAAGTCACCCGAAGATTGCCGAGAGCCGAACACCAACTTCCGGACGCGTCGGCTACGTTCGCAACAAGAGAAGCCAGGTGGGAAAAGCCATTTTGTGTTGACGTGCCATATCCTGGGGGCGCTCGAAATAATGACGGGGTCAAAAATAAGGGGTCAATTCTATTCTCAATCTCGAAGGTTTTTTTAACAGTTTGAACGACGCAAAGTAAGCAGAGCATTTTTTCATTGCCTAAAATGTATCGAAAATGAAGAAGTCTTGAAGGAACTGTGTAAGAAGCAGCATCTAAGACTGTCTCACGTCTGTTGTATTTGAGTTTGGTCTGTAACCGCCGGCAGGCAAACCTGGAGAGACGTCACTACCTGTTGGACCGGTCAGTAGGACGCTGTCACCTCACGCACGGTTCAAAAGAGACACGCTGCGGTTGGCAGAAGTACTGCAACCTATACTCAGGTGCTTTTCCCACCCTAACCAGAATCATCAATAGTAAACACCAAACTAAAAGGCATGTATTTTAACAATCCTTTGGCTACAAAGTTTCACATGTTTGAGAGTCTGATTTATATCAGACTGATGAATGATGAATCAAATGGGGGCGTAATTAGGGCAGGGGGTTACCCATTGTGGTTTTCAAGCAGAGGAATAGGGCAGGGGGTTAACCATTGTGGTTTTCAAGCAGAGGAATAGGGCAGGGGGTTAACCATTGTGGTTTTCAAGCAGGGGAATAGGGCAGGGGGTTAACCATTGTGGTTTTCAAGCAGGGGAATAGGGCAGGGGGTTAACCATTGTTGTTTTCAAGCAGGGGAATGGGGCAGGGGGTTAACCATTGTGGTTTTCAATCAGGAGAATAGGGCAGGGGGTTAACCATTGTGGTTTTCAATCAGGGGGATAGGGCAGGGGGTTAACCATTGTGGTTTTCAGACGGGGTATCGATCGGGGGCATGAGGCAGGGTTTAATGAATCGTTGTGGCTACCAAATGGAGGGCTATGTTAGTGGTATTAACCATTGTGGTTATGAAATGGGGGGGGGGGCTATTAGGTAGGGTTATTGTGGATATGAAAACGATGGCTAAGTTAGGGGATTAACCGTTATGGCTATCGAATGGGCCATCGAGTTTCCACAATTTTAGAGTGTCGGAAGAATATACAACAGTCAAAACTGCCAGAGACCATTCAGGACCGATGATATATAAAATATGTAGACAGGTGGTCACTGTAGATTTCGCTTTTATTACACTCTTCGACAACCCCTTCTTGCCATCATTTATTCACATTGTTTATTCATTTGTCGGCATGGTGGCCTTGAAAAGGTGTACTTAGGTCCACCTATTCCACGGTCACCATGCCTTAATAAATAAATAAATAAAGATAAATAAATCGTGTTAGATTTCACGAATATCTACCGATAAGCATACGAAAGAAAAATTGCAAAGAATCGAGTTTTATTTGTTTTAATTGTTTTAATCAAAAACATCTTGCTACAATACACTACATTACATGCACTGGCATTAATCTAAAAAGATGCCATTTAACTATTCAACACAGCATGTTTGTTACTTGTTTTGAAGAATGCACCCGATTTTCCTAGCTTTTCAAAAAGATTCCTTAAAGCTTCTTTTTTACCCCAATGTATAGTATCATTATGCATCGCCCTCCAGCATATATTCTAATGATTAATTTATTTCATTTTTTTTGGATTTGAAGTCCTTGAAACCTTGGGATTTGTATTTTAACTTAGATTCTGATCTACTTATACTTTTTGTCTTACGTCAGTCATCACCAATTCAATAGTCTGCCTTTGCTGACCCAAGTATAATTGCCAAAACATTCAAATTCAATAGAAAGCGTTATCATCAGATTAGTGAAAATAAGTATGTTAATGTACAGCCTTAATGGCTAAAATAGAATAGAAGATACCAAAAATCTTCCAAACGCTTGTTTAGTGCAGGTATGCTAGCTTGACCAGATGATGATGATGATAGCTTGAATGATTGTATGGTCGACTGTTACATCGTGCGCGCTTAAGAAACACATGGTTGGGTTTTATTTGTGAACCAGGTGTGATTGTCATTCTGAGCAAAATCGGATATAATCAGATTCATTCCGATTTATACAATTTATTTAAAAATGGTAACAGATATCGCATGGGTAATGCAGATAAGTTGTTTATGGCTCGACCACGTATAACGCAATTGGGTATAATCAAACATTCAATGTTAGTTTTTAAAAAATCTTACTGATTTGGAAATTCAACACATATCACACCGGTAGTGGCATATCGTACTCGTGTTGTTCATGGCCTGATCTTCAGAGACACAGACTTCAGCGAGTAAGTATGGCGTCTCCAGTGGTACCACGTCACACCTTGCGCGAATGGACAGGAGTTCCTACAGTTGCCCAGGTAGCGGCCGTTGGGGAAGGAGTGGCTGCAGCTCCCAAACCACCAGCCGCCCTGTCCCCACCGCTGAGAACAGTGGACGCTGCTCCAGCCATCATTGTCCCTGTCCACAGTGGAGAACTTCTGCCCGTTGCTGTGAAACATGGAGTCTCCCGCGGTGCCGTTGTACCCGGAAACGGTCAGCCGGTACTGGTCCGACTCACCGGACACCCTGGATGGAAATATTATATAACCTTAATAATGGCGCTCACATACTTTGTAGCACGTGCATCGATAAGTAGGCATACATTAACGAATTAATTCCGCATACATATACACATACACACTCTCATATATATATATATATATATATATATATATAAGAGAGAGAGAGAGAGAGAGATAGATAGATAGATTAGAAAAAGTTCCCTCGGATAAAGGCACTCTGACTGGAAATATCTTAATGTGTATTCAGTTGACAATACTTTTCCTGTGGGTGTTTTACTCACCTGAAACTGGAAAACGTTGCGTACCGGGTTTCTCCGCGCCAATCCTCGAGATCCACCCTAAGGCTATAAGTCTTCTGATTGGTCAGGAGGTGGATGTTCTCGTTCCCAAGCCAGTATTCCCCGTTCTTGTTCCCAAACCCGTGTTTGTACTCCTCCCAGGTCCGGTTGAAGGGAACCGACCCGTCCTGCCGCCGTTGGATCACGGTCCAACCACCCCCTGTGTGGAAGGCACCAGAAGGAATAATACTATTACTTCAATCACATACAGTACCTTGACAATGAACCTGACACCAACTCCTGAAAACCCAATTGACAGAAACCAACGTTTATATTCTTATTATACTTTCCTACCTCAGAGACAAATTAATCAAATATCTGAACTAAAAGAAAGGAATTAAACGTTTGAAATAAGCAATCCGTCACACACACACACACACACACACAGACACACACACACACACACACACACACACACACACACACACACACACATATATATATATATATATATATATATATATATATATATATATATATATATATATATGACAGATCCCTTTGTCTCCCCATACAGTACCCGCGGTATCCATGTCACAGTAGGTCTCTACGCTAGAGGAGTTGACAGTGATGTTGTAGACTCCGCTTGTAGTCTCTCCTGCCGCATAGTACTCCGCGCAGTCTGACGCTGTGTGATGATTAATAACAGACGGTCAGTGTGACTGGATGATGCGCAGAAATAGAATGCTTGTTTATATTTTGTAATGACAGTAGTGATGATAACTTTGACGAAGTAAGTTCACACCATACCTGGAACACAGGTGACTCCCGCGTCTTCCTTGTGGGTACAGTCATGGTCTCCCCACCTGCTGGTCTCACAGTCCGCCACAGAAGACTCGCTTCCCTCGCAGTTGAGATCTTCCAGCCAGATGTCTCCCGTCCCCTCTGGAAAGACTCCGCCCACCCTGGCAAACCCCAGCCCGAGCCCGAGCTGTCTACAGACCACCTGAGCGTCCCTGTCATCAAACCCGTCATCACAGACCGTCCCCCAGTCTCCGCTTCCGGCCCGGACCTCCACACGACCTTCCCATGGAGTTTGGCCTCCAGTAAGCCGGACGGACACGACACCTAAACATTTCACGATGTAAACTGTTAGAGACTGACTTGGAAACCCAAGGCAGAGTGTTTAGATAGATTTCCACTCATTTATCTAAGAGTGGGATACATTTATAAGATACATCTCTATACATTTACCTCAGAATGCGAACTGAAAAAGTTATCTTTGTTGTTTGGTTTGGTTCTAGGTTTTCTGGGTTCGACTGCTGATTATTCGGTGTTGCGCTACATCTTAGACTTTTGTTTAGAAATAAAACATTTGGTCCAACACAAAAAAGTTCATAGCACAAAAAGGTCATATACATCAGGGCCCACCATTCATTGAACGGCGACGGGGGCCGACATCGTCTACCAGATATCTTTGACCCAGTGTTGACGTCACACTTCAAAGAAGCCACGTGACAAGCTTCACTGGGTTAGTCTACTGAGGAAGACCAGAGTGACTGGTCGAAAGCTCTAGGTGAGAGAACTTTTTTTTGTGTTGGACCAAACGTTTTAACTCTAAACATGTAATTACCAACAAGGATGAACTTTCATTACTTTCATTCTTTTGCTTAGCTTGCCCCATTCTAGTTCTGATTAGCTGAATCTGGAAACTTGTGAGCACCAACCTGTGCAGACGAGCTGTACGTTCTGTCTATGTTCTGAACAGTTGTTGGAGTCCCAGCCAAATGAACAGGACGCGATGTCAGTCTCAGTCCCACTGCAGGTGAGGTGACCCAGCCAGGTCCGGCCTGTACCTGTAGGGATGTCTGTAGGAGCTGAACTCACGCCTCCGGTATACCCCAGCTGTTTGCACACGACACCAGTCTCTGCCTCGGTCCAGCTGGTGTTGCACACGGCACCCCACTCCGACTTGTCTCCCGGACGGATCTCCATTCGTCCTTCCCAGGGCACGTGACCGCCAGCCAACCGGACAGCCATCTTACCTTGTACACAGAAATTCATGTTTTAAAATCTTGGTTTCTAAAATGATTTTATATATACAAGAGTTCCACGACGTCACGACCTTCGCAAAAAGATGTTCACATTTATGACTGATGTATTGAGGGCCTCTCGTTTATTGTGCGAATAAGGTATTTTGCCGACGCCTTTTCACATATCAAGCATCATACAGATTCATCCACATCTTCTTGAGTTATGCTGTCTTCAGACAGACAGACAGGTAAACAAACAGAAAGATGCCACAATGACAATGGATGGCAAAGGTTAACATCCACCTCATCGAGTTGGGTTTGTACCTTCGCAGACGACTCCTGCGTCCTCCTTGTGTGAACAGTCACTCTGTCCCCAGGGCTCAGCAGGACAGTCTCCCAGGTTCGTCTCGTCCCCTCCACAGGCCACCTCGTCCCACCAGACGCTCCCGGAACCCTCCCCAAAATGGCCCGCCAGTTTCGCCTCCAGGGCCGTCCCGAAGCCGAGCTGCCTGCAGACAACGCGCGCGTCCTGCAGGTCCCACCGGTCATCGCAGACGGAACCCCACGGGCCGGTCCCGTTCCGCACCTCCACTCGGCCTGCAAGCGGGGTGGGGCCGCCAGCAAGACGGACCTGGATACCTGCGTGGGACGTTAATATCAGTGGTATTTTCGTCTTACTTGAATTATGTGTCAGCTATTGCTAGATCTCATTTGCCTCCTAGGTGTCTAACCTTTACTGGTGAAGTCAGGTGAATTATGGTACCAAAAAGAGACAAGCAAGGACATTATCCTTGAGACAAGTCCTGTGGTCTTACCTTGTGCACCTCCAGATGGCTCCGCAGAAGAGGCTGCAGTGACTTGTGTGCGTCTCGGGGCTGCTGTACTTCCTGCATAACGAGGGGAAGTCACCACCTCAAGGACAACAAAGTGCCGGGTTCTTACCTTGTGCATCTTCACCTGCTTCCGCAGAAGTGGCTGCAGTGACTTGTGTGCGTCTCGGGGCTGCTGTACTTCCTGCATAACGAGGGGAAGTCACCACCTCAAAGACAACAAAAATGCAAAGTGCCGGGCGGGGTTCTTACCTTTTGCACCTCCAGATGGCTCCGGGGTAGTGGATGTGGGTCTCGGGGAAGTCGCCGCCTCTGGGGAGGGAGTCGCCACCTCTGTTGAGGGAGTCACCGCCGAAGTAGTCGCCACCTCTGTTGAGGGAGTTGGCCTCTCACTACAACACTGGTGTGTCAGGCAGAAACTTTCGTTTATCAAGTATGTGTGCAAATAGATTGGTTCAAAAATGTATTTATTCAATCAATGTTATACATGTATATCAAATTGTCAGACTGCTATGTGACCCCTTCAGCTTCGAAGAAGATAGTTTAGAAGGGGGCAGTCTATAACAGTCTTATAGTGGAATAAATTTGAAGTCATAACAGGACAGGACTTGTAAAACTTGAAGTAGAAACACAAACAAAACTTCGGTTTTAACATATGTATAGCGAAATAACAACTGAAGTTGGACATCAACTAGAGTGGAGTAAAGTCAAAGTCAGAACAAAACATGAGCAATACATGTACAAACTTTAACAGAACACAAATAACCAAAATTTCAGTTTTAACATATTTATAGCAAAATGACAAGATCAAACATTAACGAGGGAGGCTAACATCTCCGGGCAAATGCGGTATGTCTCCTTCCTGATACGCAAATTGACCCAAAATCATCCCTATGCAAAATTGAAACATTTCAAATTGACATTCTGTAAACCGAACTGTCGATGTAAAGTAGTGCATTGTACGGAGCATTTGTTAGTTAGTTTCTCAACATTGCACGTTTACCTGTCCAGGGGGTCCGGGTGGACCGGGTGGGCCCTGCAGACCGTCTCTTCCATCCCTCCCGGGGGCTCCGGACGGACATCCCAGACCTGCTGGTTTGACAAACATTCATCCATTTATTATTCAACGCATACACACGCATACACACACACACACACACACACACACACACACACACACACACACACACACACACACACACACACACACACACACACACACATACATACACACACACACACACACATACACAAACACACACGCATACACACACACACACACACGAATACACACACACACGCATACACACACACAAACACACACACAAACACACACACAAACACACACACACAACAACAACACACACACACACACAGAAGAGCCGCACGAAACTTTTACCTCCAAGTTTGCCATGGAAGAGAACAGTGTTGGCCATCGCCTCCCTCTTGGATCTGTGGTGCACCTCCGCACTTTTCCAAAAGGTGGCGCTGTCATCACGTCGCCAGTCTTCAGTTGAGCTAGCTGGACCCTCGGGGGAGAGTTGTTCACTGGTCTGTTAACAAGGCAATAATCGACCTTTCCGTTACAGTGAACAGCTACAGCCACACTGCTTGGTATAGACTATACTATAACGTTACTATGCCTAAACACAATCAGAAAATTACATAGCATTCACATGTTCTAGCTACTTTTGCTGGTGATAAATATTTTATTGCTTCTAAGTCAGAGCACAACAAAGCTGCCTATGTCAACTCTTAGCTTTACATGCGTGCATAAACGGTGCCCATAGACTGAAGCATGACCTTGGATATTTGTTGACGTTTTCATCTCCTGACACAAAGCTATATAACATGAAAATATAGGAATGTTGCTACATCTGGCTAAGATAGGAAAACGTTACAAAGGGTCCCGGGTTCTAGTCTCGGGTCCCGGGTTCTAGTCTCGGTTCTCAGGCTCTAGTCTCGGTTCTCAGGCTCTAGTCTCAGATTCCGGTTAAGCACTAGCCTCTACGTGTACTTGTTCCTGTGCTTGACCTAGGCTATGTATGTCGCTGCATGTGGATGTGCTGGATTTTGGTTTTAGAACCTCTGTGTATAAAGTAGTTTTCGTCCTCCACAGAGCCTGGTACTGAGGCTATACGCTGACGTCACGCCGCTCCCTCTAAATGTCAGACGACCAATATGGCGTTTCCTCATACGTCATGAGGAAATGGAGATTTCAAAAATGCTGCCATGTCGCAAACGCTGTGCTCTCTGCGTACCTATACCTACATACACTCAATACCTAAAGTAACATTGTTTCAGTACCCACACGTTTCAGTATCTCTCGCTCGAGAGTTAGGTACCTGTGTGTATAGAGACGACAAAGGGATCGCAGCGACCTAAACTTCCTCTAAAAAAAGTATTCTTCTATACCTTAGCTCCTAGCTCTTGCTTCCCTTGCATCAGGTCCTGAAGCTGGCTGCGCAGTAGCACCAACTGGTCATGGTCTCTTCCTTGTTGGTCTCGGAGATCCCCGTACAATGCTGCTTGTTGGTCGTGTAGAACCCTGCGTAGTATTTCTTGTTGGGCCCGTAGGAACGTAAGCTCCCGCCCGACGAACAGTAGGGTGACGACACTCACCACAGCTGCGAGTCCTGACAGCGCCAGGACGATTCCATTGGTTCGCCGGTTTCCATGACGACCTACAGAACCTTCCCGAGCTGCCTCGCCGTTTGGAAACAGCTTCTTGGACGACATATTCGAGAAACCTTGCGGAAAATTCTCGAGAAATGTCCGACAAGACCTCGTCAGACAAAACCCAAGCCTCAACTGGATGACGTGTGTGCCCACAGGTGAGGTGACGACGTGGTCGGTCCGGTTTACCTGCATCACCTGAGGCCGAACTTCACTGGAGCGAATGATTTGTTCATGTAAACAGAACCATGAGACAAGGATGTCAGATTTGCCTATATAGACATCAGACTTTATTATAAACCCGTAGTGATTACTACACAAACCAGGCACAGTTGAAGTAAGGGCGTTCTAAATAACATTTAAATGTTGTTTTAAGAAACTTTAGCTTTTTGCAAGAAATTTTCAACGTCTTAACAGCCTTGCTGGTTACTTTGATCCTATAGTCTTGTAGGGAACGGAATAAAGTGCACGTGGAATGCAGTAGCACATCTTATGTCCTTATTTACTTACTCTCCAAGCAGAGGTTTGGGTTATTTTGATGTGTTTTCAAAACCCAAACCTCTACAATACGATCGAGCAGATGCCGAAGTCACCCGAAGATTGCCGAGAGCCGAACACCAACTTCCGAGCGCGTCGGCTGCGTTCGCAACAAGAGTAGCCAGGTGGGAAAAGCCATTTTGTGTTGACGTGCCATATCCTGGGGGCGCTCGAAATAATGACGGGGTCAAAAATAAGGGGTCAATTCTATCCCCAATCTCGAAGGTTTTTTTAACGGTTTGAACGACGCAAAGTAACCAGAGTATTTTTTTCATTGCCTAAAATGTATAGAAAATGAAGAAGTCTTGAAGGAACTGTGTAAGAAGCAGCATCTAAGACTGTCTCACGTCTGTTGTGCCTGAGTTTGGTTTGTAACCGCCTGCAGGCAAACCGGGGGAGGCGACGTTACTACCTGTTGGACCGGTCAGTAGGACGCTGTCACCTCACGCACGGTCCAAAAGAGACACGCTGCGGTTGACAGAAGTACTGCAACCTATATTCAGGTGCCTTTCCCACCCTAACCAGAATCATCAATAGTAACACCAAACTAAAAGGCATGTATTTTAACAATCCTTTGGTTGCAAAGTTGCACATGTTTGAGAGAGCAACTTTGCAGAAAGTGACAATTTACAGAAAATAAATTTATACTCGACAACTTCTATTGGTAGAATGCGAAGGGAAACATGTGACTTATGACCTAATGTGATATTATATTTTTGGCAAAATTCTATAATGTCGTAACTCTTTTATTACACGGTAACTAGTTTAATGTCACATTTCCCTCTTATTATAAAACTCATGGAGATAACCACAAAAGCAAACAGGTGATGTCAATATTTATGTAAAAGTTTGAGAAATCTGGAACATCAGTAAGACTTACCGACACACAAACATGACATGACATTGCATATATATATGAGAGCCTCCATTGTTTATTCTTTAGATACTCATACATAATGGCAACTAAACAAAAATCTTAAAATCAAGAAGCATGCACAAAAGAACCAGAAACCTACTATCACCTTTCCTTTGCCCCTCCTTCGTTTGCTGTTATTATATAGAATACAGGCATCACCCCTCAAGTCAAAATCGTCATTTAGATTGGAAAAATGTCTCCTTTAGGATTTTTTTTTGTAATTAGCTACACGAATTATCAACTAGTAATGAATGCTATAATTCTCTCTCTATCCTCTGCCATTTGGTTAATATTGAATTTAAGATCACTAAGCTTGTCACTGCGTTAATTAATACACTTAACAAAAAGTTCAGTTTGCAGTTTTTATCATTTCGTCTGGTGAACACATTTCACGTCATATTACAGAAAACATGACCAGTTTTCTAGCTCCCCTTGGATAAAAACTACAGAAACATGTAATAATGTATAGCGCAAGTCTAGCAAGAAAGGTACGTTTATCTAAAACAAGCCTGGAAGATATTTTTTCAATGTCTACAATTTCTTTGATAATTTCATACTCACATGACTTACTATGTAAAGACAAAAAAACAGCCCACCTTTCCTAGCTTTTTCCATAACATCACCAGCTGGCTACATTTACCTACATAATACCATGTACCAAGTAATGACATGTGCCATTGCCAATAGATGCAAAATACAATAGCAACTGTTGTCAATCTGATTAGTACAAATTTTACGTATTAGCTTTCGTATGTTTATGTTTATTAGGAACTCCATTAGTAATATTAGTAGACTTTCTTTGACTACTTTTCTTGGTACCCTCGGATAAAAGTCTACAATTTCTTACTAATAGATGATTTCATACAACTATCACTCATTATGTAAAGACAAAAACACCACAGGCTTTTCTATTATAATACCTATCTCAAAAATCTCCACAGCTTTCCTTGCAGCTTTTTCTATTATAATACCTATCACCAGCTGACTACATTTACCTAAGTAATGACATGTACCATTACCAATAAATGCAAAATACAACAGTAAAGGTTGTCATCTGATTATTAAGTTTTGAATTTTCTTTGTTATCTTCGTTTCGCTTAAGTTTTGCTCATCGCAAACTAGATACCATGTAAGCAGCAAACGTTACAAAAAATACTAGTAGAATAGAAAGTACCAGTAAAAAGCTTTCAAATTTAAAAGTCTTGTTTAGATCAGGTATGCTGGATTGAATGCATCGTTGAATTTTACATCTTACAAGAAACACATGATGGGATTTTATTAATGTTAACCTGGCGTGAAAGTTATTTTCATCTGAACAAAAGGGATATAATCAGAGTTTTATTACAAATTTTG